TGTCTCCTCGTCCTCCTCCCCTCCTTTCTTAGGTGTCTCCTTTTCTTCATCACTTATCTCCCCTTGCTGCAGACGCCATGCACCTAGAAGTGTCTCCTCCCCTTTACTCTGTATAGTGCGGCTAAGTGGGGTAGGGGGGGTCGGGGAGCGCCCCTGGGGATCGTCTCCAAAAGACGATCCCCAAGGAGACACCTTCCTTGGGGGTGGAGTAGGGGACGGGCTTCTTACTGGGTGACGGAGAGTTGGTGTATATGTTGCTTCTGTTGCTGCTGCTGCTGCTGCTGCTGCTGGAGGGTAGAGAGAAAACGGCTCCCCTTGCTGCTGTTGCTGCTCCTGCTGCTTTTCTATCTGCTGCTGCAGCTGCTGTTGCTGCATCTGCTGCTCTAGCTGCTGCTGCTGCTGTGCCACTTGCTGCCGCTCCTTCTCTAGCTGCTCCAGCTCCTGTTTCTGCCCGTGCTGCAGCAGCTGCTGCACCTTCTGCAGCTGCTGCAGTACCTTCTCTGCCTTATAATGTGTCTCTTCCCAGCTAGCAGCAGCAGCAATTAGGGGCCTCTGCTGCTGCTGAGGGACAGCAATGCTGCTCCTCATGTCCCTTAATGCAGCTAAATAAGCAGAGGAGACACTTAGTTGTGTCTCTGCTAGTGCCTCTGCATTGTTTGCTGCTGCTAGGAGATTGCCATTAGCTCTCTTAAGGTCAGCAGAAGACAAGGCTCCTGCTGCTGCTGCTGCTGCTGCTGCTTTCTGCTGCTGCATGCGTTGCACCTCCCGCTCTGCTGCCTCCAACTCTTCCGCCTTAGATTTCTCCAGAGGGGGATAGAAAGGAGACTGCAGCAATGAAAAGGAGACACCCTGCTGCTGCTGCTGCAGCAGCACCTGTGCAGCAGCAATAGCGTGCTGCCTTGCAGAGGAGACACTAACAGAAGGAGACATGCTGCCCTGCTGCTTCTGCTGCTGCAGCAGCTCTCTTACCCATTCCTCCAATGCTGTCCCCGCCTCTTTTGCTAGCTGGTCTATGTCTGCATGCTGCTGCGGCTGCTGCTGCTGTTGCTGCTGCCTTGCTGAGGCCAGGTCCTTATCTGCAGTCTCTGGTGTCTCCCGAGGGGTTTCTCCTGTTGCTGCTGCTGCTGCTGCTGTTGCTGCTGCTGCTGCTTCTTCTTCTTTCTTAGGAGAAGAGAGGGGTATACGAGTAGAGGGGACAAGCATTCTTCCCCATGTCTGCTCAAAGACAGTGGAGACAGTATGCTCCCATCTTAAGTACTCTTCTCCTGGTATAAGAGGGGTGTCTCCTTCGCTGCTGCTGCTGCTGCTCCTGCTGCTGCTGCTGCTGCTTGCTGCTGCAGCATTTAGAAACGGGTCTGGTACCTGGAGGGACGCTGCGCTATTAGGTGTCCCTAGTCCAAAGGCAGCACCAAAATTCTGCTGCTCATTTTTCTGCTGTTGCTGCTGTGCTGCTGCTGCTGCTGCTGCTAAAGAGAGACACCAAAACGCCGTAGAGGCGGAGACTATGCTGCCCTTCTTCATCGTCAACGAGGTGCATGCAAACGGAGACGATCCCAAGACGATCCCAAGGCGATCCCAAGCCAATATGCCCCAAGAAGATCAGGCCACGATCCTAAGTCGACCCCGAAGCAATCTTAAGACGATCCCAGGACGATCCCAAACCGATCCCAAGACGATCCCAAACCGATCCCAAGACGATCCCCAGACGATCCCCAGACGATCCCCAGACGATCCCAATACGATCCCACGAAGACCGATCCCAAAACGATCCCAAGCCGATCCCAAGACGATCCCGAGACGATCCCGAGACGATCCCGGGAGGCCTTGAGGTCTCCTGCTCCTGAATCTCTGGAGAAGGAGACACTTGCGAGTCCCTTAAGGCAGCAAGGAGACAGTTAATGAGAAAGGAGACACTTATACAACAAAAAAAAATAAAATAAAGAAAATATTGTTGCTGCCAAGGAGACACAGAAAGGAGACAGTCGTCAGCGGGCCTCGAGGACCAGAGGTGTCTCCCGAGCTAGCGGCACTCATCGGCTGCTGCTGCAGCTGCAGCTGCTGCTGCTGCTGCTGTTGCTGCTGTTGCTGCTGCTGTTGCTGCACCTCTTCCTTATTATTGACTCTTTTAAAGGTTTATAAAGTCTCTTAGAGGAGACACAGGGTAGGAAGACAGCAGCGAACGGGCGACAGCAGCAGCAGCGGCAGCAGCAGCAGCAGCAGCAGCGACGGCAGCAGCAACAGGAGACATACCTGTCTCCTTCTTCGCTGCTTCTTCTATCTGCTGCAGTATTCTAAGACAGAAGCTCTGTTGCTGCTGCTGTTTTTGCTGCTGTCGTGTCTCCTGCTGCATGCAGCCCTTCTCGTATAGCTATGGAGACACCTGCACACAGCAAAGGAGACAATTGTCTCCTTAGATTAGCTCAACACTCATTAATATATATTAAGACTAAGGGCCCCTCTAGGGGCCCCCCAAGGGGCCCCTAGGGGTACCCTTGTGGTGTATATTGGGGGCCCCCAGAGGGGCCCCCCCAGTATTCACCTAACACTACACGACCTTAAGCTGCTGCTGTCTCCTCCCCTGCTGTCTCCTTGGCTGCCTCCCTTAGTGTCTCCTCCTGTGTCTCCTTTTAGGAGACAGCAGAGAAGGAGACAACAGAGACTACAGGGCTATTCGCCTCTCTCCCTAGGGTTTAGGGTTTAGTGTTTAGGGTTTAGAGGTGCATGCACAGGAAGAGACACATATGCTACCATAAAGTGTCTCCCTAAAGGGAAACTTTAAGGGGACTGCCCCTGCTGCTGCTGCTGCTGCTGCTGCTGCTGTGCGTACTTAGTGTCTCCTGTTATCTGTCTCCTGTCTCTAAGGAGACAGCAGCAGTTACTGTTTCTTATTCTTCCTGTCTCCTGTCTCCTTCTTCTACACAAAAAATATATATTGTA